GGCCCCTTCTTCGGGACGCAGAAGCGATCTGGCGACAGGTAAGTCGCCAGGATCGCTTCTGTTGTAAAGCCGACAGTCGGCCCTACAAGTTTAAACAGAGTCCCGGCGGCAAAAGTCACCGGGAGTCTGTTTAAACAGCCCCGATGCTGGCGACGTACACTGTACGTCGTCAGTCACGAAGGGGTTAAAACAAGTTATTTTCTCAATTTCACTTAGCCATTTTGGACTATTTTGTGTCCATTAGATGCAATGCAAATAAAATCAATTTTAATTCCAGGTGGTAATGCAACAAAATAGGAAAAATGCCAACGGGGTTGAATACTTTTGCAAGCCACTGTAGCTGGTTAGAAAGCACACAAGCCTCCACTGATATTCTTTTTCAAAGAAAGAAGCTTTTTCCAATATTTTTTTTAAAATCTTTGCACATGACCATTGTCAATGAGCCCTTGTCCCTATGGCATCTCCAACATTCTGGAGACACTTGTGGGTATATATTTTGCAAGGTTTCTGAAGTTCTGTATCAGGAGGATTAGATTTTGTAGTTCATTTCCTGAGTTCTGGCACGGTATAAACACTTGTGTAATGGTGTACAAATATCTCACCACTGGTCCTCCATGAATGAGGTCTGAAGTTCTTTTTCCCATCTGAATCTAAAGCTGGCCATACACCTATAGATTTTCTATGGTCAGATTCCTCCATCTACGCTACACTGTGCGGATCAGGAATCTCCCACTAGGCCAAGCTTCAGTATCTTGCTAGTCGGCCCGCTGGCTCTCAAAATACCTGCACAGTCTGATTGGATGCAGGCTTTGTTCAGCTATTTTGAGAGCCAGCAGGGCCGACAAGCAGGATACTGAAGCTTGGCCCAGCGGGAGATTCCTCCATCCACACAGTTTAGCATAGATGGAGGAAACTGTTGCACTTTTTCCATCTGACCAGAGAAAATCTGCAAAAAAATCTAGAGGTGTATGGCCAAGCTTTAAGGTCTGTACCTAACAATGCTCAAGATTCCTAATGAGGCAGCCACTATGGACCAGCCTAAACTTTTTTCCAGTTTTGGGTAGAGTGAAAAAGGGCTAAATACTCTAGATTGTCCCTCAGTTACTGTCCTGGTGACCATCTGGTACCAGAACAGGAAGTCAGAGACAAAGACATAAATAGCTGACAGAGGTTTGTATTCTTTCTCACTCTATTACAAATGGTTTAATTGCTCTCTGTTACTCCATTTTACCATTGCTTTCTATTTTGGTGAGCGCAAGACTTGAAAACAAGTCCCGGGCAGTCCTGGATATCCAAAGAGCTGTGGGCTGCTCTCTACATTAATACACTGTGCTCAGGGGGCAGGGACACGATGCCTTACATTCATTTTTTTTAACATCCAGAGGGAAAAAAAAGCCAGGGGTTGGGCTTTAATCAAGAACTCTCAGCATGGCAGGTGGAAACCCACTCATGGCTAGATGTGAGTGATATGTTCTCAATGCCCAATCTTAATAAGTGACCACTGATTGCATTTGGTGGTCAGCTTTAATGATGTCTTTCAGCTAGAAACATACATTAGCTAAATTACAGTAAACTTGCAAGTGCAATATATCCTGCAAGGAATTGTCTCTAATAAATGATATTTATATAGCTTTGAGTTATTATAGAAGCACTAAATGTCATTTCATGGGTGAACCTTCATATTTCAATTGAACTCCTTGAAGAACCAGAATTTATCTAAATATCAGTATAATGGGCAGGAACATTTTTATAAATGTGACACAGAAATTCTATGTGAGTACAAAAAGGAAGATGTAAAAATCATTATGCTGCAGGCTTCTTTTTTTTTCTCTTTGTAACCTTTGCTCGCTGCGGGCGTTAAGGAAATAAAAGCTCTTCTTAGGCGGTATTAATTCTGCAAAATAATTAGCAAAAACTATTAACATTTAACACATGGACTCAGCGGCGCACATTAATCACTACAGAGCTTTGGATGGAAGACTTGATGCTGGTGTCAGATAGACTGGCTAATGGGACCTACTTGAGTAGTGTCAGAAGGGTAGGAGTGTTCTTTGAATGCAATATGAAACAATTTCTACAATGACAACATAATTTGTTTCAGTTTTTGAAAATTAGTTGTGTTTTCTTCTTTGAGCATCGTGGAGTATGAGAACAGAGCTATTTGTACTGAGATGCAAGCTGAAAATGCCTTCTTGGGTGGCACATTCCAAGCATGTGCATGTAGATCCAGGACGTGGACTTCTGGAACCAAGGCCATGATGTCCGCATGCTTTGAGGCTCATTAGGGAAAAAATGTGTATCAGGCAAGTTGGAAACACTTGTCTATAAGTTTTTCCTTCTATGTCCATTCATAAAAATATCTCAGTGACCAAACACTGGGGTTAGTTTACTAAAGGCAAATAGGCTGTTCGGTTTGTAAGGGACTTTGCACTCTGCTGGTGAAGTTCCCCTTACTTTAGTGAATGTCGTGTAATTTCACTTGGCAAAGAATATTCCAGATTGTCCAAGGAAAATAAAAAAAACAATATTTAATGCTTGCACATGGTTGGCTGATGGAAGACAGCAGTTCTTCACCTCATTCAC